TCATTTTGTCGCTACTCGGTGTTTGTGCATCTTTCAAAAATAATAAGTTGAAAATTGTAATTTGTTTATTTGGGGATGTGAGTTAAATCACTTTTTTGAAGTTGTCACCTAGTATTAAAGACATTAAAAACCTAAAATTTTCACTAGTTTAGAGATTTTAAGACAAAAAATTGGTTATGCTTTTTGAAAGATATCAATCGCCTAAAGGTATTCTTTTTAAGAAAATGTACCATATATGACTTAATTCTAAAAGTTTATTTCCTAAAAATTTTTATTTTTTTCAAATTATTTCTTGAGTAAAAATTCCAAGTTGATTATTTAGGTCAAATTATTTATTTTTTTATGGCATTATATTGAATCGATTGTCGGACCTCGACGTTGAGAGTCTTGTCAATTGAGCATATGATTTAGATTAAGTCTCGCCGTAACTCGGTATGTTGGAGAACAACGTAATCACTAAAGTTTCTTATTTGAATTAATTAATGATGTCCGTCCTTATTGGATATGAGATTCGTTAAATTTGCTTAAAAAATCTTTCTTTTTTGTTCTTATTCTTAATTAAACTAAATGTGTTTTATTTTGAGACATGTAAGAAAAACATTATCAAAATCATTTTTTTATCTTTTTTTATTTACGACAACATATTAAATTAAAGTCGAGTCCCAAAATTTGGAAGTCTCGTCAATTTAACATCAAATTTGAATTAAAGTTTTGACTCAAATGGCATGTCAAGAACATCTAATTACCTAAAAATATTTACATGAAATGCTTGAATAAAATTGACCCAACTAGATTCATTATTATTATTATTTTGGCATTTTTAACACTAAACATATATATCGAACTACCATCCATCCCTAATAAATAAGAGTTGCGTTGGTCCAACATCACAACCAACTCAACTCTATATATTAAAATAAATTTCACAAACTAAATATTTCTAAGTTTTCTAATATAAATAAAATTAACATTATTACAAAACAACATCATAAAGTAATTAAAAATAAATAGGTAAGAGAAAAAAATCAAATAGTTAGTATAGAGTGACCAAAATGTTCCTACGATGTTATTGAAAAATGACTAAAATGCCCTTACATGTCAAAATTATAGAAATATTCTCGGCACGTGTATTACGGACGTCGCCACTCGTCCGGCCATTATGGGTGGCTACTCCAATCAACTCCAAACACGTGGAAGGGTACGCAGGATAGGGGAGCTATCCATCTGTCTTGGTGGCGACATAAGTCATCGTTGACGAAAAAGGAAGATTGACTTCCCCAAAGTTTTGATTAAGTCTCCCTCTTTTTTGTTTTTTGATTCCGATAAGGATACTTGATTTTGAAGCTCCAAATCAAACCAAAGATGTTCATAAGACTTTTTAGAGTATTTATTTAGCCTTAAAATAGGGTAATTTGGTTGAAAAATGATGATTGAAACAAGTGAAAGTAAACAGATTAAATGAGGTTAGCCAACTATCTTCTTCTTCAATTTGGTCGATTCTCATGAGTTTTCGTTGGAGTTTCAAAGGGGAAATTCTTCCGGGATGGTGAGAGACACATCCATGGTTGTAGGGTAGTTGGTTTGGTCAAAAACGATGATAATAGTGGATTCACAATCGAGTCAAATCGTCGACCTTCTCTCCTTGATTTCTCCCTCGTCCAACATCCTCTTTTTTCCTAACCATTCGAAAATGACAAATCGAGTGGTGGGCTATTAATTTATGATGGTGGATTGAATCAATTTTGGTTAAAGAATGATAAATTTTAGGGAGGAAATAATGATGGGATTGCGAGTTGACCCGTGAGTGACTTGGGTCCGTGACCCTTTTTAAGGGCTATATGGTAGCCTCTTTTTCCTTCTTTTTTTTTGTTTTCTTGAGATTCGTGTCCTATAAAAAAATTTTAGAGACATGATGAATAATGAATTTTCTACTTTTTGTTTTTTTTTTTTGGTAAAGGTGATGGGTATTTTAGTTAGATTGTTTTATGTATGAGAATAGTTGTGGAGGCTATATTGTTTTCTTGGTAGGTAGATGAGTGATGGAGTCTAGGGTTTTTTGCGGTAGGAGAATAATTGTGGAGGCTCCCTTAAAATTGAAGTGAAATGGTGTTTATATAAGAACTTTTTAGGTTTTGGGATAAAATCAATTTAGGTCCTTCTTTGGATTATTTTTCTCAATTTCAATCAATGTTCCATTATTTTTTTCAATTAGCTCCTTAGTTAAAATTATTTAATCCATATTCTCTTGATTTCTTTTAATTTCACACTCGGTTAATTCAAAATCAAGTTTTTTAATTTTTATCTCTTTCCAATTACATCTCTATTTGAATATCACTTGGGTCTCACTTTTCATATCATTTTTAATTGGATCACAAATCAACTTCTCAAATTTTTTATTAATTTTTTCTTTTTAATTAAAAATAAGGAATAAATTCTAAGAAATTAAAATCCTAGAAATTTATAAAAATACCTAATAACCATGAAAAAGACAAACTATGCAACCTTTTTTTTTTTTTTTGAATTTTTAAATTTCTCTCTTTAAAAAAAAATTAATTTGTATGAAAATAAATAGGGGGTTAAAAAATGGGGTTATTATAGCTACAAAAAGTTGATTTGTTTTTTATTTGAAGTTAGAGGATTTATTTATTTGTAATTTATATTTGTTATTAGCATTTGTTTACATTATATTTGAAATCTCTGTTGGTCAACCGGATCATCTCGCCTTGATTCACTATTACTATATGAAAAATGAACTCTTTTTTTTATTTTTATTTTTTTACTATCGTAGAAAAGAAGTTGAGCTTACACAATAGAGGTGGTGGAAGTAAATCATTTAGCTTTTAGGTGAGATAAAAACAATTATTTACTCTACCGATTTAGCTTATCATAAAGAATTCATCTCTTCTTTTTTAGTTGTTTTTGGCTTTCTTTTCTTCAAATCATCTTTTTATATATATTTGTAAAAATTGTTTGTTATTTAGTTTTCTAATACTTATTTTATGTTGCATTGCTCTATGGAATAAGTCTATTGTTTTGTGATTCCTTTCGTCAAGTCTTTAAACTCGGTAAGTAATTGGCGGCTACCTCGTGTGTTCTTTTTTTCAACCTTTAGGTTTGCGGTGTTTTTATTTTTTATTTTTTAATTTTATGCATCGATTGCTAATGATATGATAATTTTCTTTGCAACTTAGTTGTTGCCTATATTGTCATATATTTCATCATAATTTTACCTAGGGCTTTGTTGGATTGTCTTCTCTCTATAATTTAAACGTTTTTCTTCTTTAAATGTGGCTCATGTTGTTTTGACTCGTTTATGTATTTTGCTGTATAAGGATTTCTCGGTTGGTTTAATGAATTTGTTTGGAAACCATGTTTACTTAGTGTTTTGTTTTACATTATCCTTATTTTTCTTTGCATTTATTCTATTGTTTTGAAATTATTTGGTAATTTGTGTCCAACACAAGATACTCAATGACCTGCATTTCTGTTTGAGTTCATCCAATTTACTTCTATCAATTATTTTTTCCATCCTCAATTTTGTTTCCAAAGTTGTATTAACATTTTAAATCATCCTCATCCATTATGTATGAGTTTTTTGGTATTCTATTTTTTTTATGCTTCCTTTTCTTTTTTCTTCATATAATTGTCATTCCTTCCCTTAAAATTTCTCAACAAATAAATAAATTATAATGTTGATGTCGATACTTGATTTATCCCTATATTCATTGTGTTATTATGGGTTGATGAATTGTTGCTTCATTTTTGTTTTTCATCATACCACTAGTGTTTGGAGCATTAAATTTTAGGTGTGTTGTGATTCGAGTGCTTTTTTTTTGAATTTTTAATAACAATCTGGTTTTTTTGCCTCCATTTCTCATGATTTTTGTTCAGTTCTAGCATCATAAGTTTTAGAGTTTTGATCGTTACTCTCTTTTTCTAATCAATTATTGTGTTTTTTTTTTAATAACCTTTCAAATGTTGCTTCTCAAGTTCGATTCAACTTATATCCCTCTCTTCTCTCCTCCTCTTTATTCTCTTGTGAACTTGGACATTTGTTATTAAAATATTTGCTTGCATAATTTCATAAATGAGTTACTTTTTTCATATAAGATGCCATCTTTGATCCTTTCATTGATGTGTTTGATCATGTTATTAATAATGGCTTCTAATTACATCATTTTTCTTTTGTTACATAATTAAAATGGACCAGCTACTTTGCTGCCAAATATATATATATATATATATATATAACACCCAACCACTGAAAAATCTAATGCCTATTGTTTGACCCATATCCACCCAGCAAGCTCACGTTGGGCCATGGCCTTTAATTTAGGAGGGCACTTAAATATAAAGCCTTTTACAGCTAAACAAGGCTTAAAACAAAGCAACCATCCATGAACCCTTTTCTCATGCTGGACTGGTGACGGTGAATGAATTGCAAGAGCAAATAAATATATTTATCCACCAGGACAATCAATGAGCACCGTGGAAACAGATTAGACTGTAAACTACATTTTCACCCTTATGGTTTTATCAAGATCTACTTCTATCCTTATTGTTAAAATTTCTCAATCTTACCCCTACGTTTAAAAAGCTTCCATTTCTCAATCAATTGTCTCCTTTCAAATCCCCCGTCAATGTTATAATATCTCACAAAAATGCATCAAAATCTTCGAGAAAAAAAACTCAAAACCTAAATTTTGAAAGGGTGGAGCCTTTTGGAAACTAGAATGGTAACATTGGGAGGTTTAAAACTATAGGCGTAGAAGTGAATATTGATCAACCGGAGCGGCAAAAGATAAAGTAACAGAAAAAAAAAACAATTGCTCACGCAAAGTTGTCTGATCGACGCTCACCAGTCACGATAGTCCCAGTTAATAAATATTTCCTCATCAATGCATCTAAACCACCAACCGAAAATGGTAGAGAGCCAAGTGGGACATAAAAAACAGAGAACAATCGACACATACTAGTTTTTGGACCCATCGTACAACAAGATGGTTTGTGGAGTTCTCACCTTCAGAGTTCCTCTTTCTTCAAGCTCAACTTTCACTTCCAATTCAAAAAGACTCAAAATTCAATGCTCAAATTCTAGTCCAGACGTTCCTTTAACCGCTGGTAAGCTCTTCTTTTTGTACTTTTCCATTTTGTTTCTCAATGGATTAGGTTTCCATTATAAATCCAAAGACTAAAATAAAGCAACCAATGTTCTTGCTAGAGTATTTGTTTCAGCAGAATTGTTTGCATGCCTCACTTTTGAGTTCTCTGAGATTAATAATGGAAATTTGGTTTTGCCATGTGATTAGCTTTGTGGCCTGCTTGACCTGTGAAAGAACACATTTTTTGCCCAGTTGATCATTTTATGCACTCCCAGTATAGGGTGCTTGCTCTACTTTTAGTCTTGTAGATATAATTGTAGAAACCCTTCGAAAATTTTCTTCTTGAGAATCTTCGTATAGCTTTCTGCTTTACTCAACCACCCCAGAGCAAATACGAATTGAGGCCTAGCAAATGTTGATGTCCAAATTAAGGCCACTATGCTAGGATTTCACCAGCTTGTTCCTTGTAGTGATAGATAGGTACTCAAGCCAATTTGCGAGGTACACAGCACTGTTCTATTTGCAATTTACTTTAGCATTTGAGAAATGAAGAAAAAAATCTTATGAACTGTACCAATCTGAGAGACAGCTTATAAGTATTTCCCGGGAAAAATTTCGACAGTTATAGGAGTACAACAGGTTGTAGTTTTTTTTATGTGATGAAATTAGTGATGCCATTAAGCCCAGTTAACCACAGAATGCTTCGACAGAGAAAGAAAAAAAGAAAAAAAGAAAAAAAAATCCCCTTTAATCATATTTTGCGTGAATGACAGCAGCATTACATAATCTTAGTATGCATAACATGATGCCAACCTGTATGTGCACAAGGAAGGCATTCAAGCATAAACCAAACCCCTTCCCTCCATCTGCCACAATCACAAGGTTTGCTTAATCAATCTTGTGAAGTACTAGCTAGGCTAAGCTTGTTCCCACTTGGAGCTGATTTTAGTTATGGATTTATGACAGAGAAGATTCCGAATGACTTTTATATGACTGGCGGTGCATATGATTTTGATAGAGGAACAAAATCACTTACACAGAAGTTATTACCCTCTTCAAAGAAGGTTACTATCGTAAGGCATGGCCTTAGCTCTTGGAATGAAGAGAGTAGAGTTCAGGTTTTTAGCTCCTCTCTTGTAATTTGTGGATAAATATTTCTTTATCGACCGTTCTATGGATGCTGCTAACTTGATTATGGTATGCATACCTAGGGAAGCTCAAACTTATCAGTCTTAACAGAAACTGGAGTAAAGCAAGCAGAGAGGTGTCGGAAAGCCTTGGCAAATATGTACTTTGATCAATGTTTTTCAAGTCCAATATCTCGTGCCAAGGTTTGATCAATGATTGCCATGGAGAATCCTATCTTTCATTTTTTTTTTTCTCTCTATCAAATAACAAACTTGGCATTCAATGCAGTCCACTGCTGAAGTCATATGGCAAGGGAGGGAAGAGCCACTAGTTTTCCTTGATTCACTGAAGGAGGCCCATCTATTTTTCCTTGAAGGCATGAAAAATGGTCTGTCTCTTTTGTTGTATTTGCTCAGCTAGTGTTAAAGCTTGAGAATTTCTTCGTAAAATTCTTGTGTTTTCTCTTCATATTCTACCTCATGCCATCACTAGGTTGTGGTGTTCATAATTCAGTCAAATTTGAAGAATAAGCAGTCAACTTTAATGCATAAAGTTAGTCTCTACTTTCTGGTTGGATTGAAATTTGTTGAAGTTAATGAACAACTTGAACTTGGAGAGTAGCACTGGACATGCATTTTTCTGTTCATTTTTATCAGACTAAATCACATTCAGAATTTGGAGGCAGTGGATGCTAGGGAGAAGTATCCAAAGGAGTACACAACATGGAGAGAAGATCCTGCTAATTTTAATGTCAATGGCATCTACCCATTGCGAAACCTATGGGGGACTGCTAGAGAAGCTTGGAAGGAAATATTGCTTTCACCTGTGAGTAACTTTCCTTCCGATGGTTATGCTTTTAAAGTTTTCATGAAATGTTAAATCTACAGACTTGAGAATGTTTTCATCAGGGAGAGCACTTTTTGGTCATCACACACAAGTCAATATTGAGGGCGTTGATTTGTACAGCATTGGGGTTAAGCCCAGAGAGGTATGTGCTGGACTTGAAATAATTATAGTCACCCTGTTTAAGACATAATGATCCTACTGAGACATCAACAACTGGTTCTCAAAAACCTAGAGCACCGAGCCTTGGGCAATTTTTCTATACGAAGTTTGATGTAGCCTTCTTCAGACATTTTATTGAAGCCTGATTGCTGCTCTGCTTGAATATCCCTTTTATATGACAGTAACACATTTTTGCTGCATGCTATCAGCATTCAGCTTAACGTTTCTTTGTTTGTTGGTTCAGGTTCCGTGCAATTGATGTAAATAATGGTGGGATATCTGTATTCATTTTCAACAAAAAAGGAGAAGCAATGCTTCAGTCTTTAAACATGACAGCCCACATGTACAGTGATCATATGTATCTTCACTGAAATTTCAATACTTCACTTCTTGGCTAGGAAGAAAATTCTGCTGACAGGAATCGCATACCAGAAACAGTGATACAGTGCTCATGGAATGATAATGAGTAGAGTAAGTGTGCAACTTACAACTAGTTCCAACTTCAACTTTGTTTATTTAACATGAGGATTTAAAGATCATAGTTTAGAAGTTGGAAATTTGTAATAGATGCATATTCTTAGCTAGCACCATTGTGGCTTGTCCATGGTAAAGCCTTTTCCTGAATTGATAACGAGAAAACCTTCATTTCTGTGGAATATTATTGTAAAGCCCTTTCCAGAATATTCATTTTCTCAATATTCTCTCTTGCAATTTTCTTTATCAGCTATCTTTTTTCTTGTCGAAGAATGATATTCTCACAAAGCAAGAGGTTTAAGGATTCGAGTTCGAGTCCCGAATTTGTCAATTGATTAACAGTCTCGAAAAAAGAAGTATACATGGAACAGAAAGAGTTGGAGATTTCGGAACCTGAAAAGCAGGGATATGTTTATACTTTGCTGAAGCTTTGTTTTGGCAAAGAGCTAATAACTTCTCGAGGAGTGAATGAACTGCATGGTGTCTACCTTCCATTTTCTTGTTTATCACTTCCGGTATTATTTCTTCATAAAAAAAAAAGAAAAAAAAAAGAAGAAGGTGAGGCAGTGAGAGCTGTGCTCTTATAGAAATTACATCTCACTGCAGAACTCTTTTGGCTGCCTTTGTTCAATAGTGATACATGTTAAGGAATTTGTGGAAAACTAGAAGGGAAACTGTGATCATTCTATTTTATTTAAAGAAGAAGGAACAGATTAAGGTGGTGAGAAGGTTACTAGAAATTAACACGAAACATTTGGTTTTTGCCACCGATATTATTGAGATTGCCAGCATGAGGATGAGAATGTCTACAGGTTGCTGCATTTTTTCGGTTAGTCTTTTGTGCCCAAATATCTGGTTGCCCACAAATTAGAAATACTCAAGGATTGGAAATATCTTTTTTAAGGTCTATAATTTGGAGAAAAATAGTGTAAAAAGCAAGTTTAAGTGCCACATTAGTTAATTCTAATAAATGCAAGGGTGAAATGAACAGAGGGGCAGTGAGGTGGTTGATGTCTTAGGAGATACACACTAAGAATTTTTTGTAAAACATCATTTTTGAGTCGTAATTGAACACTAATATTGATGATTAGCATAATTACGAAATAATTAGATAAGTTATTGAATGGTAAGATAAATTATTATAATATAATATATAAAAATATTTAATAGTTTGTAACTTGAAGGGATTATAATTATAATTACTTCAAGTAACCATAGAAATTGCCCACTCACTTTACGTAAATGATTTCTTACTTGAAAATAATGATTTTCATTTATTTCACTAATGTCAGTCATTTGCAATTAAACTTTATCAGAAGTTGTAACGAATTAAAAGAGTTATTTTCTTCCTTTATCAGAATTGAAATGCACAGGAGGACTGTCTTGCCAACATTGTTAATTATTGTATAGAACTATGCATTGGTGGTATAAAACTTCGGAGTCGCATTATATTATTTGAAAGTGATAGCATTCGCTTGTTTTATTATTATTATTATTACTACTATTTTTGCTCTTTGGAACCATTTTTTTTTTAATTGTTCTAACTTTTTATATACTCCTTTAAACCGTGCACATACCTGAATTTATTTAAATTTTTTTATATATAAAAAATAAAAAATATTTGCAATCACAAATATTAAATTGATAAATGATATATATATTATCAAATATTTTTCACTGAGATCTTTATCAAACTATAACATGTTTATACAATAATCAAAATTGTTTTTATTCACACCTCTTGAACTAGCTAGGTTAGGGGCCAGTCTTTTTGTGCTTCACAACACATCGAAAGCAATATTTTTAATTTTTAATTTTTTTTACCAATTCATTAACATAATATATTTCTTTATTTACGAAGTAGCGTCGTATTGTGTAGTATATGATTGTCAAAAGGCAGTATAGAACTATGTATTGGTAGTATAGACCAGTGGAGTTGTAGTAGATCATTGGCAAGAAGAAAGTTTACATGTTTCATTACTTTCTTGTTTTGCATTTTCTTTTTGGACTTGAATCTAAACTAATTTTAATTGTCCCAACCTTTCTTCCATACTCCTTTTCGAACCTTCATCTACTTAATTTATTTATCGTTTTTATATTTAACAAGCGTAAAAGAATTGTAATCACAAATGGTAGATTAGCCTAAATGAGGCTAAATTGTACAGGACCCTATGAACTATTGGTAAAAAACGCTATTAATCCCTAGATTAAAAATTTGTTCGATCTAATTTAGTCCATTGTTAGTGAAAATTAGGGTTCCATCCAGTTACTAATATATACACACACAGACAAATTTAGAGTAAAGAGATGACTGAACATTAACCCAGTTTTTAGTCATGCACGATATTAGCAGGTGACATTTTCCTTTAGTAATTAAATTATGGAACCCTAATTGTCACTAACGATGAGCTAATTACTTCAAGCAATTAGTACAAGGACTACTGTGTGTGAAGATTTTAGTTCAGGGACTAATAGCAGTTTGACTTATGGTCGAGGACGATCCTGTAAAAAGTTAGCCTAATAAATGATCAATTACCGAATATTTTTCATTTAGACTTTATCAAAGACTAATATGTTTATACAAAACATTATTATTATTATTATTTAAACACCTTAAAATAGGTAGAAGTTTGGTTATTTGCGCTTCAAAACGAATAAAAAGCAATACTATTAACTTTTAATATTTTTTTTTGTATATTCAATATTGTAAAATATTTCTTCATTTATGCAAAAAAGAATGAAAAATCATTAATTATTCAATTTTTCTCCATTTTAATTTTTTAAGAAATTTTCATTTAATCTTATTTTAATATAAAATTAAAAATTTTAATCTATTGTATTGATTCAAGTCTTTTTATGTCCAACATTGCATTCAAATTTTTGGAAAAGAATTCATTATAATTCTAATGATGTGCATGAATGAACATGCCAAAATCACTCTTAAATATTTATATAATGTTTACAAATCAAATATTTTTTTTTCAAATTAATAGATAAAAATAAATTAACAAATATACAAACAAATAAATATGTTTAAAAAAGATTTTTTTTCTTTTGTTCTTTTCATTTTCTTAAAACAAACCTGTTACGTATAACTACCATGCTGTATTCACGTTATCATAAATTTGCTTATGATACCTTATTATAATTTAATTTGGAAATAATTAAGATTGGCAATGATAAAAATTTTAGTGGCTTAAATTTAGGAGTAGAATCTTAATGGGAATATTGGAAGTTCTTAAAGTAAAAATATTAAAGAAGGAAAACTTCTTCAACACAAATTTATTATACTAAACTTTTTCTATATTTGTGTTCTTTGATTAATTAATACATAATAAAATTTTAGTGACTTAATTCAAGTAGAATATTTTGTTGATATTTAATGAAGAAATTTTGGAGTTAAACTTTTTTTAATAGAAAATGGCTTCCATCATAATTTTAATTTTCATGGACAAAAATATTGTGAAAAAATATGAAATTAAATTCTTTTATTGGTGAATTTCAATTTTTTAATTAATTCAAATATTTCTAAATTTATTCATTTTTTTTATCAAGACTTTACTTAGTTTTTCTAAAGATCCTCCGAGATAAAAATCACACAATTTATTTTTTCTATGATTTTAGTTTTAGTGAATGTGGGGGGAACGATACAAACCACGAGTCATTGTTGTATGATCTAGTGTTAAACAAATAAACAAAATATAACAAATATATTGTCGAGTAAATTAATAAGTAAATAAAAAATACACCATTTACTATAGATACAAAACAATCAAAATACACAATGAATATTTAGTGAATGTATGAAAACCGATATTATTAACTCGCATGTAACAAATTAATAAAGAAACAAAAATTACATTATTTCTTACTAATATAACAAATAAAAAATATATTTAATTAGAACTATCATAATCACTCGTTTAAGTTATCATCTCAATCATCCGACGTATTTTCACACTCATTACATCGTCTTCGTCAAACACACCTACATCCGTATCTACAAACAATCCATTTGGATCATTCAACAAAGTAACGTCCTTGACTTCCTCTATCAATTCGTGTCGGATTTTCGGATCGTTTTGCTGAAATAGTTCAACATTTTGTTGGACGGTAGTCGATGAATCAAGGAAGTCAAATATAGACCTAGCTTTGATCTTACACACGACCCACCAATCTCGATTCTCGCACCTTAAGCTAGGATACTTCACATAATACACCCGAGTCGACCGTGATGCTAGGATAAATGGTTTGTAACTCGTTCAAGGTTCTCTTATAATTAACATCCATAAGTTTGTACTTGTGGATGAACTCTTGTTCCTTGCGGTGTAGGATCAAACCAATCATATTTGAACAATATTGTTCTCTTGGTTAGTAATGCGGGATATTCTATTTCAAGAATTTTTGTCGGTATCGCATAATAGTCACTCTCGGCTATATTATAATTACTTCCTTTAATGCAAACATCACTATTGAAAAATCCTATTTTCGAAGATCCCTAAAGTGTGCAGAACCTATAACCATTAACAAAATAATCGTTGTACGATCTTACAATAAGCAATGGTCATTATGCGAGATCTTTCAAGAAATGGTCTTTCATGGAAATTGTTTATGCATTTTGTGTTTGTAAATTAAACATAAAATCCCTTAAAAGTTTTGCTATCTTTTAATTAATGCTATCAAAAAAATAAATACGAATAAAATAATAACACTTACATATTGATTAAACCGGGAGGTAAACTCATTTTCAATTAGAGCATCGGTCTCATTTTCGGATATGAAGGGATTGTTCGGTCATATTTCGGTAAGAAAATCCACTAAAAACAAGACAATTAACAACAAACGTGAGTTAGTCTCTACTATGTTGCTAATATTATTATATGTAATAAAAGAGATATGATCTAAAATTTGAATTTTGATAAACTCACTCAATGTAAGGTTTTACTTCTTCATAATTCAACAATATATATTGGTAGAGTCGCTTTGTATTCAAGAT